GTTATCGTATCTCAAATATAACGAATTATCGGTTATCGTATCTGCCAAAATGTTTATATTGGTGGATTCCTAAATACTAGGGATGCATCAATATATCGCAACATAAAAAATGCATCAATATGTGTTTTGTGTATTATTCACCAAAAATAAAAAAATACTGTGATAAAATGTTTAGTTTTCCGAGTTTTATTGTGAGAACTGCAGTATATAATGTAGAATATAATGTATAGTAATGCAGTGGGGGAATATGTGTGTGTCCGACATTATTGTAAATATATCTAGTCAGTGACAGAGATCATCATATTCATCTCCAATAATTCAGTGTTTTCAGCTTCAGAATCATGAATATTGTTATTCTGGTGTCTCTATTGGGTTTCAGCACCAAGTCCAAGCCTGTTCATTCACACACACAATCTCATACATCACATTTAGCATTTAATCATTTTATTCTTCACCTTTTATCTTGCAGGGATGTGGTGTATCGTGAGTTCAGCGTCGAATATCGATACACTCCTGCTAAAGTGTGTAGTGCTGTGATTGGCTCTGTAGCCGCATGCTTTGATTCATTACGCTTTAGCAGAGCTTTTTTAAATCGGCGTGTCTGTGGTTGGAGTCGTGCTTCTGGATGTGGAAACAGGCGTTAGTCGTGCCTAAGACAAAACACCCCGCGAGCGCGACGAGCGCGGCCATATATCAGGGTATTCCAGGAGGACAGAGGCATATTAAGCAGCACATCTGGGGCTCCACACACACACACACACACACACACACTCCTGTAAAGTGCTGACGCCAATAACAGCGGCGGGTCCTGCGGGACGCTCACGCCTGCGATCGCTGCACCAGAACACAACGGGTCGGCTTCACGTGCCTGTGTGATGACCTCTCAAGGACCCCAGGGTCTGGCGGGATTACATGTGTTACATTCAATAAACACACGACACACACGGCTCTGCCTTTACACACACAATCAACATATTCACCAGATTATTACATGTTAGATGACACACACATGAGCTCAGATGAGTCAGGATTTTAGTCCCTGGATATTTGATCTAATAAAAGAGGACATTATGTTTATTCTGAGTGTGCAAATCTTTCAAATATGACATGGCGGGAAAATGAAGCATCTAAATAATATCACACACACACAATTCTTAAATAAGCTTGTATTAAAATACAAGTGTGTGTGTGTGTGTGTGTGTGTGATGGTCTTACTGTGGGAACTGGCCCTTGAGTGTGTCCATGCACTGGCGTGTGCGTATGTGTGTGTGTGTGTGTGTGTGCAGGGGTTAAAGTGGGCCGGAACGGTCCGGAACTGTGTTCCGGCACCTCAGATAAACTAATAAATAAATAGATTAATTAATCTCAGCGAATCTTGCTTCTCCCGATATGGACCAACTTCCCTTCCTCCCCGCTGAACGCGAGCGATAAACACATGAAGTACACATATTAACTATATAAACTATATAAAGTATAAACTGTATAAAGTATAAACTATGTAAAGTATAAACGCCTCGTCCGTTTGGAGAGGTGCGCGCGGAGCCTCTCGCTCGTGCGGACGCGTCGAGTATACACAAGGCTTTACAAATGCTTGAATTGCACTAGCGGTGGTTGAGCGCGGTAAAGTTAGTTTTAGGTCTGAAATATTTCGCCTGACATTTGTTTTCCCTATAGCTACTGTTCTAGGGTCTTACAAAGACTAATAGCAGGATTAGTTTTAACATACCATTGTATATCGACATTAATATTCGTTCATTAATATTCAAAAATCACCTGCGTGCATTTAATGCTGCATACCTGAGAATGCTTTGACGCGTTTGCACAGCGAATGTAGCCTATAATTTGTATTATTTTAAATTACTTTTTAAATTCCAAAGCTTGTAGAAGGTGGCAATACTGACCTGGTAGCCTTGAGTAAATTAACTTGTTTAAAGGGTTAGTTCACCCAAAAATGAAAATTAAGTCATTAATTACTCACCCCCATGCTGTACCAACCCCGTAAGACCTTCGTTCGTCTTCGGAACACAAATGAAGATATTTTTGATTAAATTTGAGAGCTGTATCACTACCACATTGGCTCCTAAGGGACTGCCTCTTGACGGCCCAGAAAGTCAATGAAGAAAATGTTTAAATATCCCAAGTGACTACCGTGGCTCAACTATATGTTTATCAAACGACGCGAACACTTTTTGTGCGAAAAAACAAACAAAAATAACGAGTTTATTCGACTATTTCTTTTCTTCCTTGTAGGCCAGAACGAGACTTCCTTAGATTTCCACGACGCATGCGCGAGAATTGCGATCTCCTTACACCAGCTTACACTACTTCAGATCGCAAATCTCGCGCATGCGTCGTGGAAATATAAGGAAGTCTCGTTCTGGCCTACAAGGAAGAAAAGAAATAGTCGAATAAACTCGTTATTTTTGTTTGTTTTTTCGCACAAAAAGTGTTCGCGTCGTTTGATAAACATATAGTTGAGCCACGGTAGTCACTTGGGATATTTAAACATTTTCTTCATTGACTTTCTGGGCCGTCAAGAGGCAGTCCCTTAGGAGCCAATGTGGTAGTTATACAGCTCTCAAATTTAATCAAAAATATCTTCATTTGTGTTCCGAAGACGAACGAAGGTCTTACGGGGTTGGTACAGCATGGGGGTGAGTAATTAATGACTTAATTTTCATTTTTGGGTGAACTAACCCTTTAAGATAATGATTCATAAAACATATAATTATCAATTAAGCCTATTTACTTCACTGACAGATGAAAATGAAAGACTATCAGTCAAAGTTCAGGGGGTTTAGGAGTTTAGGAGGGGAAGAAATAGGGCAGGATAAGGAGACTGAGAAAAAGAAAGATGTAGGCTATTGACAATATAATCGAATGCCCACTGACATGGTTTTAAAGCTATTTATTATCTTTTTTTTTTGGCCTTCAAAAGTCTTAAATTGCACATAATTTGGTCAGAGAAATCAAAATTTTCTCGGGGGAGTCCCCGAACCCCACTTTTTGTCCCAGTGTTAAGCCATTTTAACATAGTATTGTCATTAAATCAGTGTAGATGGGCCAAAATAAAACCATTAAAATATCAAGTAAATAAGTGACAGGCGACTGGTGTCACAGCGACACCCAAAGAGTATTGCTATACCACGATACTCGATATGTTGTCCCACGGTAAGTCATTTTTCTCTGTTGCACCTACACAAAATTTGAGGGTTCCCCCACCTGACAAATCCCACTTTAACCACTGTGTGTGTGTGTGTGTGTGTGTGTGTGTGATGGTCTTACTGGGGGAACTGGGCCTTGAGTGTGTCCATGCACTGGCGTGTGTGTGTGTGTGTGATGGTCTTACTGGGGGAACTGGGCCTTGAGTGTGTCCATGCACTGGCGTGTGTGTGTGTGATGGTCTTACTGGGGGAACTGGGCCTTGAGTGTGTCCATGCACTGGCGTGTGTGTGTGTGATGGTCTTACTGGGGGAACTGGGCCTTAAGTGTGTCCATGCACTGGCGTGTGTGTGATGGTCTTACTGGGGAACTGGGCCTTGAGTGTGTCCATGCACTGGCGTGTGTGTGTGTGTGTAATGGTCTTACTGGGGAACTGGGCCTTGAGTGTGTCCATGCACTGGCGTGTGTGTGTGTGATGGTCTTACTGGGGGAACTGGGCCTTAAGTGTGTCCATGCACTGGCGTGTGTGTGTGTGTGTAATGGTCTTACTGGGGGCACTGGGCCTTGAGTGTGTCCATGCGCTGGCGTGTGTGTGTGTGATGGTCTTACTGGGGGAACTGGGCCTTGAGTGTGTCCATGCACTGGCGTGTGTGTGTGTGTGTAATGGTCTTACTGGGGGAACTGGGCCTTGAGTGTGTCCATGCACTGGCGTGTGTGTGTGTGATGGTCTTACTGGGGGAACTGGGCCTTGAGTGTGTCCATGCACTGGCGTGTGTGTGTGTGATGGTCTTACTGGGGGAACTGGGCCTTGAGTGTGTCCATGCACTGGCGTGTGTGTGTGTGATGGTCTTACTGGGGGAACTGGGCCTTGAGTGTGTCCATGCACTGGCGTGTGTGTGTGTGTGTGTAATGGTCTTACTGGGGGAACTGGGCCTTGAGTGTGTCCATGCACTGGCGTGTGTGTGTGTGTGTGTAATGGTCTTACTGGGGGAACTGGGCCTTGAGTGTGTCCATGCACTGGCGTGTGTGTGTGTGATGGTCTTACTGGGGAACTGGGCCTTGAGTGTGTCCATGCACTGGCGTGTGTGTGTGTGATGGTCTTACTGGGGGAACTGGGCCTTGAGTGTGTCCATGCACTGCGTGTGTGTGTGTGTGTAATGGTCTTACTGGGGGAACTGGGCCTTGAGTGTGTCCATGCACTGGCGTGTGTGTGTGTGATGGTCTTACTGGGGGAACTGGGCCTTGAGTGTGTCCATGCACTGGCGTGTGTGTGTGTGATGGTCTTACTGGGGGAACTGGGCCTTGAGTGTGTCCATGCACTGGCGTGTGTGTATGTGTGTAATGGTCTTACTGGGGGAACTGGGCCTTGAGTGTGTCCATGCACTGGCGTGTGTGTGTGTGATGGTCTTACTGGGGGAACTGGGCCTTGAGTGTGTCCATGCACTGGCGTGTGTGTGTGTGATGGTCTTACTGGGGGAACTGGGCCTTGAGTGTGTCCATGCACTGGCGTGTGTGTGTGTGTGTAATGGTCTTACTGGGGGAACTGGCCTTGAGTGTGTCCATGCACTGGCGTGTGTGTGTGTGATGGTCTTACTGGGGGAACTGGGCCTTGAGTGTGTCCATGCACTGGCGTGTGTGTGTGTGTGATGGTCTTACTGGGGGAACTGGGCCTTGAGTGTGTCCATGCACTGGCGTGTGTGTGTGTGATGGTCTTACTGGGGGAACTGGGCCTTGAGTGTGTCCATGCACTGGCGTGTGTGTGTGTGTGATGGTCTTACTGGGGGAACTGGGCCTTGAGTGTGTCCATGCACTGGCGTGTGTGTGTGTGATGGTCTTACTGGGGGAACTGGGCCTTAAGTGTGTCCATGCACTGGCGTGTGGGCCGCAGGCGCTCCATGAAGCGGCTCAGGCTCCTGTGCTCTGCTCTGCTCATCTTCATCTTGGTCTCCTGCTTATCTGCAGACAGAGCGAGAGAACACACACATTACTGAGAGACGGACTCGTTTACGCACTATTATTACACGGCTCGGTGGAATACTTGATTCTGATTGGTCGATCGCTCCATCCAGCGGTGTGATATTCCCAGATAACAGCAGAAACACACACTCATGCGGTCACTGAAGACAGCAGCGCTACACACTCACTAGTAGAAGTTTTGCGTTTGGTGAGCTAATAAAATATTAAAACTCAGTCGAATCATTATTTAGTGTAGAGTTATTTAATTACGCGACCCAGCGTCGTGGACTCGCTCTGTCGTTTCACAAAACGCAGCGCGGCCATATACGCCACCATACGATATACGCCACGGTCTGCAGTCATGAACAGAAGACGAAGAGAAGGCAAGAACTGGATGAAGAAATAATCCATATTACACAAACAAAAATTCTTCATACGTTAAAATATCTCGAATGTAACTCGAATCCCTCGCCTCATTTAGTATTTGTGGTTCTATGAATAAGCAAATAAGCCCCGCCTCCACTCACTCAGAGATCCACTCTTTGACAACTTTTGAATGCTTATAAATGCTGTCATTGTTTTGTGATTGGTCACACCAGCTCTTTCATAACCGTAGGCCTGACACATTCATACTGAGAGATAAAAACATAGATTTAGATTGCCTTTAAAGTGACAGCAGCCTAATGATGCCATTAAAGCTAATCACACATTCTCAATAACTTTTGTAAGTTCAACAAGAATAAATGTACGTTTAATTTACACAGTAAAGACTAAATACATATGATTACTTGAACACTTCATGTGGTTTTTCTTATTTCTAGTGCTTGACATTTTGCGGGTAGGTCGACTTCATTCGTGTCTTTGTTCTACTGTAGTTTGTCCTCCTACATGCTTTTAATTAGTTTCGTTGTTCGTTGTCTCACGTTTTCCTTATCTCCAGTAAATTAAAGAGTTTTTATACTTAGGCTAGCATTAGTTTTGTTTTTGTTTTTTTGTGATATTTAAGATGGCGACAAGAATTAGTGATGTCATAAAAACCTTATTTAAAGCAAAAATAACTTATGGCAGCCACTCGTGAAACGAAATTACTCAAAATTAAGATTTTGATCATATCGCCTACCCCTAGTCTGATTGAAGAAAATGAAGGTGTTAATGGGAAGACTAATTAAAAATTAAGTAATCAACTCAGCCACTCAGATATCACGTCAAAATCAAACTTGACGAGGCCTGAACACACGATACTGTGGGGGTTTAGTGAGCGACCATAATGACAGATGATCCAAAAATACACCCGTTCACAAATAAAACATATTTAAATTGTTGCTGCATTTAGTTATAAGATATATATATATATATATATATATATATATATATATATATATATATGTGTGTGTGTGTGTGTAAAACTGCTTAAAACACCATCATGATGAGATTTTTTACTTGGTGTTATAAAAGCACTAATTACATTGTTAATGTAAAAAGAATACAAAATAGAATTTCATTTATTTCTCTCTTTTTGTTGATATTGTAAGTAATGCTTATTTAACCAGGAGAATGTGCCAACAATAAGTGTAACTGAGATATGAACTTACATTTGATTTATACAAAAAACAAAAAAAAACAAAAAAACTATGATGACATATATATATATATATATATATATATATATATGAAGAGTTCAGATTCAAAAGCCTCTAAATGCCATTTGAAATTTTCTTCTTTAATGATGATTTTTATCAAACTTGTATATTTAAGTTCAGTAATTTCACTTAAATAACAATTAATAGGTAATTATCATTGCCATTTAAGTGAAATCATCAAAATTAAATATACAAGCTTGATAAAAATTATCATTCTAGAAGAAAATTTCAAATGGCACTTAGAGGCTTTTGCATCTGAACTCTTCATATATATATATATACACACAAACACACACACACACAGACACACACACACACACACACACACACACACACGGAGTCTTCATGGACAGATATAAGCTTTAACACTAACAATAGCTCTTTTATAAACTAGCATATTTTGTGTGTACACACACACACACACACACACACACACACAAAATATGCTAGTTTATAAAAGAGCTGCTAGTATTAAAGCTTATATCTGTCCATGAAGACTCTTAATAAAGTCTTACCGTGTTTAGTGTGTAAAACACGAGTTTGACACTGACATCTCCTTAAGAGTAACAGATGCACGATGTTATTTAATGACAGTGATGTATAACCGTAATTTGCCTAATTCGTAATTAGCAGAGATGGTTATCATGGTGATTTTTATCATTTGTCGCAGTTTGTTCCATCGTGTAAAGGCATGATATGTTTTCTATATAAATACAACATCATTTAGACAGATGGATGTTAAATATGAATACAAACATGAGGAGAGCTATCACAGCTCTCTCACACACTCACACACACACACACACACTCACACACTCACACACACACACACACACACTGTACCTGCGAGAGCGGCGCTGCCTGACACGAAATCCATGATTCAATTAAAACCACTTTCACAACATAAACAACACAGTTATTACGCCAAACACTTGCACCACTTCCTGGTCCACTCCCGCGAACGCGTTCAAACGTCACATCGAAGGAAACGCGCTCCTGATTGGTCGTGATGGCTTTTGTCGTTGAGCATAGCGGAAGCTGATTGGAGGAATAGACGTGAAGCTACTTGCTGTTGAGATAAGGATAAATAAATCACTAGACTGTCTAGCTTTACATGAAGAAATCATACGGAACGGCAAATAACTTGACAGTTAGTCAATTTCAGATCCAAAATTCATCACTCGTCCAAGTCTACATAGACTATAATCATTCATTTAAACCTAAGAGCGCTACATTTGACCAAAACAATAGATTTAACGATATATTTATTCATTTAGCTGACGCTTTAAACATTAATTATGCCACACTAATATTTCTGGACGAGCGGTAAACGTTTAATGTTTTTTAAACGATTTATATTTTGTATTTCGCCCCAAAACAATCCCTTAAGATAAAAAAAAAAATTCTGTATAATCACGTCATGTGTAATTCTAGAAACTACAAACTGACATGTTCAAGGTTTAATACAGTCTGACTATAAAATATGCGGTTAAAATTTGTTTCGGTTTAAAATACTGACATAGGCCTATTTTCTGACAAACTTATTAAGCATCAGTAGTGTTTCTGTCTTTATTTTAACCCTTGTGCTGCATTAGATTTTTAACACCGTTGAGTGCATTAAGGACCAAAAATGGCCACATATTAAACATTGCCTAAAATATTATATATTATTATTATTTTCCACTTTTACCAAGTTAAATCTTTTAACCAGCATCAGTCCTCATCATAACTACCAAAAATGTATTCAATTTCAGGATTTTAACCCTTTAATTACCAGTTTTGTTTGCAAAACCATCGATTTGTATAAGAGGAAAAAACACAAAAATTCAATTATTTTCAATAAACTAAATGCAAAGAGAAAACTTTAGATTTGGATTATCACAGTCCCACTTTGCAAAAAAATCCCACTTAGCGCGTTAGAGACCAAAAATGGCCACCTATTAAACATTGCCTATTGCCTAAAATAAGGTGCATTTCCACCCATAGGGAATAAATATGTAGTGACGTCATCTGGTGGAATACACTATATGATGCAAATATAATGCTTTTGCTTCAAAATGAAAGGATGTTTGTGCAAAAATCATGTTTCATGTATTACTGAGAGCCTCAGATTTAAACAACGTTTTAATGGGTTTCAATGGGCCATTTTTGGTCTTTATGGTGCTGAGTGTTACTATTTGATCTACACAGTGTGTGTTATACATATTTTGCAAAATGGGATCACATTTTTTACATGTATCCAAAAAGTCACAATTTTGCCAAATTTCATACCATTTGCATTAAAACAGCCAAAATGGTCAAAGAAATTAAACTGCAAAAGACCAAAAATGTCCCTAATGCAGCATAAGGGTTAAGGGCTACTTCGTCACAAATGGCTCATATTTCTGTCCGCTGTTAAACCTCTTACTGTGTCAATCCATTATTTCTCATTTCAGCCTTTCAAACTCTGGAGACACGAGTTTGAGTTTGAGTCTGAATAACTGCATTCTGACGGCATGCTGATTCACTGTTATAATATTCTCAAAATAAGTCTGTAATAATTGTGTTGACATAAAGCTCCGTGTTCACCTGTTTCAGCTCAGACTGGGAAAGACTGGGTTCGTCCGCTTGAGATAAACACTTGTAGTGTATCAGACTGTGATCCAGTGTCTGTAAGTGCAGCGCGTGTGTGATGTGTGTGTGTGTGAGCGCGTGACCTTTGACCCCTGGATCAGGCAGTGGTCCTCAGAAAGGCAGATCGAGAGGTCCTGAGGCGGCAGAGTGTGTGTGTGTGTGTGTGGATCAGAGAGAGAGAGAAAGAGGAGTGGATCAGAGAGAGACGTGTGTGTGTGTGTGTGTGTGTGTGTGTGTGCACTGAGATCAGCGGATCAGTGTACGACAGTGATAACATCAGAGGATGTAATGGCTGTAACAAGCGGATCAGAGGGGAGTGTGACTTTGTTAGTGTGTGTGTGTGTGTACATACATAACTATATTTTTGTCAAAATCTTCAAAAACGTCCTCATTTGTAATTCTATAAAACTATCGTTTAAAAATAAAGTAATTAAAAGGTTTTTAAAACATGTGTGTGTGTGAGATGGGTAGGCCTAGGTGTCGAGTTTGTGTGTGTGTGTGTGTGTGTGTGTGTGGAGGCTGATGTAAACAGGTCAGTGTAACACGCAGTGATGTTAACCAGCTGTGCAGTCGCTCTCAGCAGGAGATGAAGGAGTGTGTAAGTGTGTGTGTGTCTGTGAAACACTGATCTCTGCATCGCTGCAGTCACACACACACCGTCTCTAATGACAGCGTTTCCCCTCGACACACACCGGACACACACATCAGCCTCCCGCCGCAAAACACACACACACTTAAAGCATGCTTATTTACACACTTCTCCTAGCATTAAAATAATTCTCGTTCGTTTGTTTTTTAATGCGATCGGTGCTCGTCATGATTGGGTTAATAATCTTGCGTCTGAATATCTTCTCTGGCGGGCTAACCTGTCACGCACATGCACTCTAAAACAGGCTGGGTTAAAAACAACCCAAGTCGGGTTGAAAATGGACAGAAAGGGTTGTTTTAACTCAGCGGTTGGGTTACATGTTTGCCAAACCTGCTGGGTAGTTTTATTTAACTCAAGTATTGTTTAATAATTACTGTATTTCTTGCTTAAAATGAGCCCAAAGTATGTTGAAAGGAACATTTATAAATATTTTTAATGGATAATAATTAAACAAGCATTTATTAAATTACTAATTGATAAATGTTCGCCTTTTGATTATTATTGTTGCCTCTACACTCTAAAAAATGCTGGGTTGTTTTAACCCAACTTTGGGTCAAATATGGACTAACCCAGCCGTTGGGTTAAATTTTTACATTACATTTTTAACCCAACATTTCGGGTTTGTCCATATTTGACCCAAAATTGGGTTAAAACAACCTAGCATTTTTTAGAGTGTAGTTATTATGTCTGATTTTTCATTTCCAACCTATTTTGTGTTCGTTTTAAACCAGCCGTAGTATTTTTTTTAAAAATAGCTACCCAGCACCTTGGGCAAACATTTAACCCAACAACAACCCAACCCAATCGTTTTTTTTTTTTTGTTGTTGTTGTTTTTTTGTTTTTGTTTTTTGGTCAATTTTCCAACTTGTGTTGTTTTTTAACCCAGCATTCTTTAGAGTGTGAGATCCAGATAAAGGGTAAAGATGTTGAATTACTGAATACCTTAAAACACTTAACACCCCCAAAGGACATACGTATATTTCAATTTTAGGGTCTTTCTTTTCTTTGCTTTCTTAACCTTTTTTTCTTAATTCTTATATTGTCGGGGTTTTTTGTTTTGTTTTTGTTTATTGGTAAAAAATGCTGGGTTGTTTTAACCCAATTTTGGGTAAAATATGGACAAACCCAGCCATTGGGTTAAAAAATGCAATTCAAAAATGTAACCCAATGGCTGGGTTAAATTTCAAACAACCCGGCATTTTTTAGAGTGTATTTTGTAAAAATTGTGTAAAATTTCTGTATGTAGGCTATTCCTGAGATGTGAGATCCACCAATAGCAAACATCCAATCAATTGCCCACAGACACAGTCAAGCCCCGCCCACGTGTGTTCTGAAAGACTTCCATTTCATGCTGACTTTAATCTATTTAGACCAGTCTCATGGCCTAAGCTGGTTATAAGTGTGTTTTGGGGTCTGTGAAATATAAAAACACGGCGATGGTGCTGATCTGTTGTCACCTGCTGATGTCCAATGCTTGAGGTTTTATTTTTAAAAGCACGAGCTCTCCGTGGATGTACACACACACACACACACACACACACACACGAAGAAACGCTGGACTGGATCCGTCATGTCCCTGAAATCCCACAGCTATATTTCACATGAAAGAGTACAAGACTCTGAGATTTTAAAGCTGCTTCACTCATTTATTTTATTAGCTTTTAATGAACGTAATTAGACGGCAAGTAATTAAATGTAATTGTGCTCCGACATCCTCCCCCATCGCTGCAAATTGGCCCGAACAACATGTGTGGTATGAGCAAATGTGCCGGATTAATTGGGGATAGATAATATTTTTGGATTGTGTTTCACACTAAATGGCCGCGCGCCGAAACAAAGAGCGCGACTGAAGCTCATTAATCATGTCGAGGGGAGATGTGTGTGTGTGTAGCGGCCCGTGCTGTTCACACACACACACACACTTTGAGTCCTGTCAGGGCCGGAGCTCGGACCCACCGCTAATTACTCTGACAGAAAACTCTAAACCTCGGCAGTGTGTTCCTGAGGTGCGCGAAACTCACACACTCTGGTGTGTGTGTAGTGTGTGTGTGTAGATAATATAATTAGATGTGGATGAAGAAATGATTGCAAACTTGTAGAAATATTTCCGTCATTTCTGAAATGTTGTTGGTGTCTGTATGTGTTCTGGAGTGTAGGCCCTATTCTCGGATTCAGGAAAATATCCATCGCTCCCAATTCTGATTATCAGAATATTATTACAAATATCAACTATTTGACATTTCTATATCAAAATGAGGAATTAAAAAAATAGCATTTCTATCTGAGAAATCACAATGTGTGTGTGTGTGTGTGTGTGAGAGAGAGAGAGAGAGAGAGAGAGAGAGAGAGAGAGAGAGAGAGAGAGAGAGAGAGAGAGAGAGAGAAAGAGAGGCCATGTTTAGCTGTTTAGCTATTTTTTATTTTATTTTTATTTTTTTTGAAAATGTAAAAATAAATGAAACATGCAGAAAGTTGTGTGTGATGGACCGGGGTAGGGTTGGTGTGTGTGTGTGTGTGTGTGTGTGTGTGAGAGAGAGAGAGAGAGTTTTTTTCTTTATGCAATCACTGCTAATATCCTGAGGCACGTGTCTCATCAAGATACTGTGATGTGTGTGAAGGAGGTGTGTGTGTGTGTGTGTGTGTGTGTGTCTAAATCTCTTTACTCGTTAAGCTCAGTGAACATACCTGTGCTCGGACATTCACCCTGTTA